CTCGAATATTCGAGCCGTCGTAAAACTTCGATTTACTTGAAGATGAATTTTCACCTCGAATATTCGAATAGCTCGCTTTTGTTTCCAACAGTTCGTCGATTTCGAGTAATTCGACAAATATCGATCATTGTTTGACTCGAAATTCGAGTACTCGATTTATTCCCTCTACTTTCACCTCGCTCATCCCTACAATAAGTACCGCATTTTGGCCAACTCCGTCCGAGATAATAACAAAGAAAAAGCACGAAAGGAGGATCGGCCAGCAACCTGCGAGGCACCGTTCACCATTGTCGTGTAAATAGGAAAGAATCGTCGTCGGTTGAACCTCGAGGACCTGTTTGTCTCGATGCAAACGATCGTGTGAAAGTCTCGCCGCCTCGTTAACGCCACCCTTCGGAGGACGACCGAGAGGGAGGAGTGTTTCTAACCGGAGGAAGCTAGCGAACGCCAGTGACTGCAGTGGTTAAAGAGAAGAGAACGATGCTGGGAAGAGTAAAGATTCCGAGGAACGGAGAAAAATAAACGGACAAAGACCTCGCCCCGGCAAATTAGCTACTTTATCAACAGTCCGCCGCTTTGTTGCAAACGCTGTCGCCTGTCGGATCCCGTTGTTTATTGCTTTTCCCTTCCCGCTTTTTCTCCCTTTCTTTCCCTTCGTCGAACCCTACTCGGTTGAAACTTTGATTGCCACCCGGCTAAATGTTTGCTTTCGTAAATCAGCCCGTTGGTAGGCCGTTTCGGAGGCTATCGAGTGTTTAGGGAAAGACAGCAAACGATCATGATTTTTTATCGGGAAAAGGTAGAAATCCGCGGAAAGATGGATGCAACTCGCGGACGTCACGTCGAGACGTTCCGGGATGACATCCTGCGACGTAAAGAAGGAAAAAGAAGAAGAAATATCCGGCTGTGGCTAGCACTGACGGGGGAGTAAAGAGGGAATGAGTCAGAGGCTAATAAAATCGACTGGACCCGAAGACTGGCTCGGAGAGAGGGAACTGTGCTGTTGGTGTTCGCGGGCATGGGAAAAGGCCAGCAGATTCATTGACTGCGAGGCCCACCAGTTGCCCTCCTACCCATCCTCCGACCATTGTTCCATTAAGCTTCACCGAGTACTGACACATGCTTCAGGGTTTACGTGCCACCCTGGCAAATCGCTTTTTCACTCCACCCCCCCCCCCCCCCCCCCCCCCCCCCGCGGATCCGTCGGATCGGCTAATTAAAACGACGACACGTAGACACTGGAGATGCTATTTGCGTTACGACTGCTAATTAGTTGCACGCTCTTTAGTGTATTCTTGGAGACTCGAACGACCGCATTCGTTCAAATGGCTGTGAATGAGTGGGACGTGTGATGAATAACTATCGCTTCATTTCGATTTGTTGCATAAATTCGAAGGGAATTTGATAGAAAATTTTTGGTAAAAAATTTGAAATATAGTACCGTATAGACAGGGGTGGATTGAGATTTTTGGAGGTCCGGGGTTATTGAATCTTGGAGGGTTTGTTATCGTCCCCTAGATTGATAATATTTTATTATTAATATTTTAACAATAAAGTATAGTATAAGTGCTCTATAATTCCTTCTATATTGGAGCCCTCGAAGATGGTTGCTTCTAAGAAACAGGGAATTATCAAGCGCTTGCAGAAACATTCTTAACGAGAATGTGATAGAAAAAGAAAAAGGAGAGAACAAACAAGGTTAAGAAAGTGATATGTAAAGCCGAAATTATGCGCACGAGAAAGTCTAATTGAGCTTATCGATTCTAATGAATTTTAATGAACGATATTGCCAATGGCTCGACGGACGAATGGAATTCCTCGCGTTTGTCGTTCGCCTTTCGAACGCGATCGAAAAATTGCTCTCGATTTTTCGTCCATACTAATTGTAAATATTTCCCTCCGCATTGATTCATGAGACCGCGTGACGTTTTTCAACGTGTGATTTATTACCAGTCCCCTTTTGGCTGATGCAGAATTGATGGACGGAGATCTTTCTGATCGATTAGCAATGAAATATCGATCTTCTAATGAAGAATAATTATGTATTTTGAAATTGTACCATTCTAGGAAAGAATATGAATTCATGTATGAATCAATACAATTGCATGTAATTTTGTAATTTATAATATTTTTCTTTTATAAAGGAGATGGCTATCCCCAATACGTTAGTTGACCCCCATGGTCCCGGCAAATTTTTACTCCATGGAATCCATAGAATAGACCGCCAAGATGATCTGTACCAAGTTTTATCCAAATAGATTAATGCCCGTTTTTGACCAAGTTCCCGTTTGACAATTTTGATGCTCATGGGTTCATTTGGAAGGTATTATCGTCTAGTTTAACATATCCGGAAACTAGGATGCCGAAAGCACAATTTCAACCACTCCCCATAGAGCCCCATGTTAAAAGGGTCAACTTTAGCCGCCATTTTGACCATGTTCCCATTAATCGATTTGGATAAAACTTGGTACAGATCATTTTGGTAGACTATTCTATGGATTCCATGGGGTACAAATTTGCCGGGATCATGGGGGTCAACTAACGTATTGGGGATAGATAGCCATCTCCTTTACAGTGTTCCTTTAAAAATTATTTTTCCAATGTATAAGGCTCTGTGGTTCAAATATCTATTATTTAAATAGAATTGTAAGTAATTAGTGCTGATTATAGATGACAATGTTACGTAATGTTGGGCTCAAGTGTTTGTGTTAATTATATCTTGCATCTTTAATGATTCATTACATATTTTGTAGCATTAAGAAGGTTGATATATTATTAAGTCCAACATCTGTTCATTAGACACATCTGCTGTTCACAGTAATTGTTATAAGAAAGGAGGCTCCATTTTTCTAGAATTGAAATATTGTCAATAGTAATTGAAAAATTTTGGAAAATTTACTTTCTTCTGATCGAAAGCACCTTCTATACTCTGACAATAAGGGGAGCCCTGGGTGGTTTTCCTCTTTCCCCTGTTCTCCTCTTTTCATCTCTGCCGGGCTGTCTTGACCGCTTTATTGTTGGCTCGACTTATTTCGAGCGATTACGCAGCTCATGATGGGTCGAGATGGAATCGCTTCCTCGATAACGCGATCAGCGCGCTCAGCTTTTTGACCAAAAACGCTGCGACGAATTGGAGGTTTGCAGAGGAGAAAAGGAAAAAAGAAAATAAGGGTGCAATCGGGAAGAAGAACTTTTTATTGGTCGTCTAACAAGCACAGAAATGTATTTTTTCAATAATTGAAAAGTGGCGAGACTAGTATCAAAATCTGATGGAATTTTAGTTTCTATCAATACTTTATCATTATTATGCTTTGCACGAGGAATTAAGGAACCTATATTGATTTTATTTATGGATTTTCAAATCTCCACGTTTGAGGCTTTTCCATAGAGAAAATTGACATACAGTGGAAGCAGGGATTTTTTAAATCTTAATTTTGACAATATCAATATTAATATTAAAAGTAATTTAGAAAAAAAATAATGAAACTTTTAAGTGTTAAATATTATAAAGTTGAGTTATAACTGACAGGTACAAATAACATAATAAAGATTAATTCAAATTTTCCCGCGTAAACGTTTATACGCAAGTGGTAGGGGGTCACAGATCTATATATATGAGGCCTCCTCCCGTACATTGTCATTCTCCTCCGGGATGCCCATAGGTAAAGGATGATTAGTTTCTCCAATCACCCCAAATTTCTATACCATATTTATTATTTTTTTTATATCAAATCAAATTGTCAAACAGGCATAACCAGGATTTTTTCTGAGATAATGTCCCTTAGGAATTTAGATATTTCTAGATTTTAAATTTTGGAATCTTGCAAACTTCTAATATATGATTAATGATTAGTTTCAACAATCATACTAAACTTCAATACCATTGCAGCGGCTTCGTCGTTACCTTTGATGGGTCCGAAATTTCGTATTTTCGGAAAGTTTTATTGCGAGCACTTGTGCGAGTGGTCGCCAGATGCGCGACTCGACACTGACCAGACTCGCACAAGTCGCCGCAATAAAAATTTCGGACCTAACAAAGGCACGGTAGCGACGAAACCGCTACACCATATTCATTGTTTTTTTTTAACAAATCAAACCGTCAAACAGTGGCGTAACAGGGATATTTTCTGAGGTAAACAACGTCCTTTAAAAAGGACCCCGCGTACCTTTATGGAAATTGAATTTCGGTCGAATTGTCTAAAACTTTCAGAAAAGTTAGTTCTTACCATGCTGATCAAAAGTCATAATGGACACGGAGTCCAAAAATGGCCAGTTTTTGAGATACGTATGGTTAAAAGTCGAAAAAATGGCTTTTTGATACTAGACGCGTGCGTGCATGCGTGGGTGTGTAAGCGTGGTAGGTTATTAAGCTTCTGGGTCAACAACAACTTCGTCAAGATCCATGTTTTGAATATTTAATACGCTTTGTAATGATGTAATTGACAGGTATTTAATATTATTTTCATAGCATTTTCATTATTTTCTGTGCTTCCTCAGTTTATAAAACAGCACTTGACAGAGCTATGCGCATGCACACTTTATTGGTGTTGCATAACTTATACAGCAATCTAATCTCAAAAAGCCATTTTTCGACTTTTAACCATACATATCTCAAAAACTGGCCATTTTTGGACTCCGTGTCCATTATGACTTTTGATCAGCATGGTAAGAACTAACTTTTCTGAAAGATTCAGACAATTCGACCGAAATTCAATTTCCATAAGGATGTGTGCGGGGTCCTTTAGAAATTTTCAGATTTTAAAATTTTGGAATTTTGATAATTTTATATAACACCCACACGTTTCACTTTTATAGTGTAAATAGACAATGAAAATTGAAAACGGTGAAACGAAGAACTTCTATAGACAAGGCAACGTCTTAAAGTTAGCACCATTAAAGGTTCCTACCCGTTTCCCTTTCCCAGGGAACAGTCACACCGCCGTTTTGTGGTCCGTTTCAAATATTGGCCGTCCACTCGTGGTATGCGTGATACCCCGGAGTGCGCTTAAAATATTGAAATAAGATGCTCGTACGAACCTCCTCGAATTCTCGTTCAATTCCTCGTCCTCTTTTGTTGCCTCCCATTCGCGGCATTCTTTTTCTCGCATGCGCACCACTTTTACCTTCTCCCCTATTCTGTCATTTTCGACGTGCTTCCCTTCGTATTATCTCCACCGACCGTCCTTTTACTTTCACATCTTTTACTTCCTTTTTAGAAATTTCATTTTAGATGTTTCTTGCCCGAACATAACATTAGTTTTACTTTTTTCCTTTTTCTTTCTCGACAGACTTCAGACGCTATTTTTCTTTTTGTAGTTGAAACTCACACGATGGTGAGGATACCTGATTTTTGAAAAAAATTATTGGATAGGTTTCCGAATGGTCCCACTAAAATTGAGAACTCAGGTTCGGTATATATCTTGAATTGACTACAAGAAACCGTTGATTAAAGTTGGTTTCAGAACTGAATGTCTTACCGTTTTCGAGATATCGTGGTAAGGTTAGGTTAGGTTCTGTGTATGCGCAGTATCGAATAGCATATGTTCAGTATCTAATAGCGCATGCGCAGTATTGAATAGCGCATGCGCACTACTGAATAGCACATACGTAGACCCAAAATTGTACAAAAATTTCTTACCACGATATCTCAAAAACGGTAAGACATCCAGCTCTGAAACCAACTTTAATCGATTTCTTGTAGTCAATTTAGGTTATATACCAAACCTGAGTTTTCAATTTTGGTGGGGCCATTCGAAAACTTATCCAAATTTTCTAACCACTCCGTTTTAAATCGATACTCCAAAATTTTCCTTTCTCCTCGGCAACATTGTCTCGTCTCGTTGGCGGCACGTTATTATTGGATCATCGTTGAAGAATTAAAGATGACTGGTCGAAGCAGTTCAACTTTTTCGGCCGGATGCATTGTGCCCGTTTTTTCCCCCGGTTTAATCAACTCCTCGCTGATTTTTTCATCTTTCCTTTCCTACCTTCGTACGTCTTTCCACGAGGGTCAACATTCTGAGAGGAACGCGGACTCCCGAAGCCTCTAAAGTACACGCAATTTTTTTATTCAAAAGTAAAAAACAATATAAATTGATTGAAAAAGAAAGGAAGAGTTGGTTAAACGCAACATTGATTCATTAAGGGTTTACATACCTTTGGGGGATTAAATAAGAAGGAAAATTAACAAATTTGTTTGTAAGTAATTTTATCAATGATAAAAAATTGTTAAACAAACGAGTTTAATACATGGACGCGATAATTTTTTTAGGGGCAGTCTAATACTTAGAAAATGAAAAATTACAATTAAATTGGAGCTCTGACCATGATCTGCTGTCCGAGGATTAAGGAGTTACATTCCTTTAAATCATTAAATAAGAAGTTCTGTGAACAATAAACAATTTTTAAACAAAAGAGTTTCATATTTGGATGCAATAATTTTTAAGAGAACAGTGTAAAATTTAGAAAATGAGAGTAATATGAGATACGGAATTACGTTAAAATTGGGGCTCTCTCCATGGTCAGCCGTCCGATTAAGAGATTACATACCTCTGAACGATTAAATGAGAAGTAAAATTAAAAAATTTGTTTGTAGGTGCAGAATTATTGTTTATTAAAAATTTAATAATGGACATATACATCCTATTACATATTATTTTCTTAGAAATTTCTGAAAATTTGAATTATGTATCTATCGATAGAAGAAAATGGCTGCTATTTAATATCTAACCCGTTCCACTGAAACACCATCTGCGGTAGTAGATATATTTCTGTAGGCTTTTATCTGAAACAAGTTCTTTTAATTTTACATTAAAGTAGACAAAAGGACCTAGCTAATTTTTAAAATATCAATCTTTTACAAAATGGCGGCTGTTTGAACCTAAACTTGTAGTTCCCGACATAAATTTTCAACTTATTTTGTTAAAAAAAGAGGAGGAAATACACGAATAAGAAATTTGCTTCCTCAAGTACTAGAATAAAGTACTAGTTAGCAATTTTAAAAACTGCATTTCGAATAAAACGCTTTTACAGTTTCAATTGTCTTACTAGTAGATGCGATACACTTCAGCTTTTGAAGCCATAAATCCGACAGTTTTACGAATTCTTGAATGAAAGTTTGGAAAAGTGTTCTAGAAGAATATATAGTTTTTGAAAAATCGATTTTTTACCTTATCAGACCCTTTAATTATTTCTTTTTCAATCTTTCAAATAAATATTCTCACCCTTTCTTATCTTTCAAATATAAAATTTTTCATTCTTACAAACTCCTTTTTCATTTGCTATTGCAAAGTTTTATTTCTTGGCATCGCAAATCGTCGAATCTGCACTTTCCGATGAAACATCATCGCGCCGCGAACGCGTTCCCCGTCATCCTGTAAATAACAGGCGACGATGATATACGATGCACCGTGGTAAATTGCCACAGATAAGGGTATGATTATCAGTTACAACACTTAAAAGGGAACGATCCTCTGAACATTGATTTAATATTTTTTCTTCTTCTTCCTCTCTGTTTCTCTCTTCTCTCCACCCCGTGGACGCGTAATACGACCACGCCCTGTGCTTACCAGCATTATGCAATAATTCACGTTCATTACGCGATTATTATCAATCAGCGTTCGTGACGGTTAACGCGCATCGTGACAATGTTTCGTTACGATTTCCTTGCGTGTCACCTTTCATTCCGCACTGTGTCATGTTGCAAATTCATTTGCTTCCCTCCTTTTTCATTGAATTCCATGTCGTTCAATACGAGCAATTATACTTTTATATAATTTTCTGTCCAAATTACTTCTGATATTAATATTGTCAAAATTAGGATTTTGAGAATTTTTGATTCTCTTGTATCGTTCAGAGTTGGACATTGTATGAAATAATCTTCTGACAGAAATTTTGGCTAAACCGAAGATATTGATCCTGAATAAAAACCTATTTGAATAATTAAAAATTTCACCAGTCATTTGAAAATAACAGGGAAAATCAAATTTTAGTTGAAATATAAACTTATCCGAAATGAAAATATCTTGAATTTGAAAATTATTTATTATTTTCAAATAATTTGGTTTTATTCGACATTTTTATTGAAGGATCTATAAATAAAATTTCATAAAAAAACAATTGTTTCTGATTTAAAAATATTTTCATTTATTTAAAATATGTTTGTAAGTATCAGAGAATTATTTGAAATAATGCTCAACTCCGGAATCGTTATTTATAATAAATAAGTTTCTATATGTTTAAAAAACAGAACTCATAATAATCGTAATTATTAAATTGCTTCATTTTAAATACTTTTATCCATAAAAATTACGTAAACCATTACTCTTCGATATAACATAAATTTGAAAATTAACACGTTAAATGCCATTGGGGTCACTGGTGATTGGCACTGTAAATTACACATGCTTGAAAAATTAAATGAAAATAATAGAAAAACATTATTTTAAATAATATTACTACCATAAATAGAAAGCTTGAAATTTTAAATTTTTAAATTAACTATTTCTATTCTTTTTAATTAGAGCTTCAATACGTCCCATAACAAGTGTCCATTTTCATTGTGGCGTTCAACGTATTAAATTTATACATAGAATAAAAAAAACAAGTTTTCTATATTCTTGCGAAGTAAACTTTTGCCACTCTTCAATAATACGAATTTTAAATTTATTTATTGTTTCAGGATCCCTATCAGAGATTTAAGCCAAGTCCAAGCATTTTCCATTGGTGACAGAAACTTTATGGAGGCAGTTTTAATAAACGTATGTTAATTTTGTTATTTTTTATATATTCTATAACTTCTTTTGTCGTATGTATTGGTGCGTTATCTTGTTGCAAAATGAAATAGTTACCTATCAGTCGTTTTCCTTTATGAATAATTACTTTCCGAAGTACTTTATGGATTTACGTTACTGCTTTATGGATAAAAGTATTTAAAATGAAGCAATTTAATAATTACGATTATTATGAGTATTGTTTTTTAAACATATAGAAACTTTAAGTATATCTCTGAGTTTACTTTTCCTCCTAAAATTACAATTTTACCCATGGCATATACGCAGAGGCATCCTCGTACTAAAGGATTATTCAAATTGACTGTCACATCTTTAAATTGAAATAAAACGCAAAGTATTTGAGATTTGTATAATTTCTTTATTTTAATACAAAGTTTGCTTTACAATATTAATTATAAAAAACAATATCGATCAAGTATCCTCCTCGACTTTTTTTCACGAGTCCGATGCGTTTGATCAAATTTAATTGACCCGTAATTTCACGAGGAGGAAACATCAATTGGCCACCAACACCGTGTGATATATCTAACACCATTAGATTTTTCTCTAAAGGAATCTTTGAAAAGAAAAGTCCAAAATTTAGTTCAAAGAGTACTGACGAGCTGAAAAACAATATCACAACCATCATTGATGAAATTGAATTTCAATTGTGTGAAAATGTAATGGAAAATCGTATCTCATGAAAAAAAGCCTAGGAGGACACTTGAATGATATTGTTTTTCATAATTAATGTCATAAAGTAGATTTTGTGTTAAAATAAAGAAACTATACAAATCTCAAATATTTTACGTTTCATTTAAATTTAAAAATGTGACATTCAATTTAAATTGGAATAACCCTTTATTACACCTTTCTTTTCCGATTTAAATGCAGGTGTTATATATTTGAACGACAATTTCTCTTCATTCTTTTCTCCATACACATATTCTACCTTGCGAGTATTTCATTTTCAACATATAGATTCATCGGTCCAAAGAATTTGATTCCAAAACTCTTGATAAAATTCCATTCTTTTTCGCGTGCCTATTTTCTTATTTATTAAAAAAAAAATACTTTCTCGTGGTAAAAATGAAATTTGCAACGGTAGGGAAAGGGAGGGCGAGGATGAAGAAAAGGGGTCGCAAGTTGCAATACACGTGCCCGTTTTTCCAGACTGGTGCACCGCGTGTTCCCGGTTCTTTTTTTCCCTCGAATGCAGCGGAAACGCGGCCTCGCGCCACAACGCGATCCTCGCTGTTGCTGCGAATGCTTCTTTGGACGAATAAAAAAGGGGCGGGCAGCATTTTTGTCAGTCTGGACACGTGTTCTCGCGACGAGGAATCGGCCTTCTTCGCGTTGGTCCCGGGTTTGTCGCGCGGCGTTCCATGTGCGCCCATCGGAACTCGCATGCTCGCATCATGTGCTCGATTAAACCTCTCCTTCTTTCGTACAGATGCTCCTCCACCGACCGTTTAAAGAGACCGTGCTTATTCTTTTTTTAATATTATACCGACTCGTCGCCGTCTAAACTGGTGCAAGAATGGCTGGCGCGATTGTGAATGAACGGTTCTTGCCTTCGAAATATCCAGATTATTCGGTGATTTAATCAGTCTAGATACTATAGAAATGTACAATTTAATATTTATTCTTATTATATTAGCTTAGGACAACAATGATTAATCCTTTTCTTAAGAATATTTTTTTTTTCTTATTTTTGCGATGAGGTCGGGAGATAGAGAGGGTGTGCCCAAACCTCCAGGGCTCCCGTATAAGTTGTTCCTGCGGGCAAATGCTCGCTTATCAACAAATAGAAATTATCTTGGCGTTACCGACATGAATGTATAATAGTTATTGGAAGGTAGGAGTGGGGAGCAGGAAAATTTTCAAAAAACCCGCTAGCAAAGTAATCAGAATAGGAAAAATAATCGTTTTCTTATGAATATAATATAATGCGTTTGTTAACACTCGGACGGCGGACCATGGAGAGAGCTCCAATTTGAATTTAATTCATTCGCTGCCAGACCCAAATTATGTGATTTCATTCGTATTGCCATTTCTGTTTTGAGTGTTGCGTTTATCTAATCGTAATTATTTATAATTTGTCATATTTTGTCATAGGTAATTGTGTGCATGTATCAAATCAAACACGAGTATACTCGTTGTTGCCAGCGAATGGGTTAATTTTGTAATTCATATTATTTCCATTTTCTAAATTTTACACTGTGGCTTTAAAAATTTGTCCAATATATGAAATATAGTATAATGCGTTTGTTAACCCTTGGACGACGGACCAAGGAGAGAGCCACAATTCCAATTTAATTCTGTACTTTATATTATTTTCAAATTCTAAATTTTACATTATCTCTAAAAATTATTCTTCTAGCATATGAATCTCTCTTATTTAAAAATTCTACATTTTAAAGTTAATATCCTTGTTTGGCACAATTAACTCAAGCTTCCTTATTCAAGGGGTAAATAATAAAATATAATTATCTTTTGTAGTCTAAATAGAATTATAGTTTATTATCTAAGAAACAAATGTATTATATTTTCTATTTTTTCAGAAAAAGGGTTAATCATTATATAGAACTCAATAACTATATATAATTTAATAAAACAAACTCAGATTCAATGTTTCTATCTATTTTAACAAAACGAAACTCATGTTTCTTTAAATTCGTCGACACCTTACAAAATCATAACCGCAAATATTCTTTTTCTTATTTATCACTCAACGAGATTGCTTCGTATGTCGAAAAGGAAAGAAGGGTGCAATATCTAGAGCGATCAAGCCCAATTTTCTGCAATCCCTGCGATATCATTTACGCGAAAGAAACTACATCACCTCTCCGATGAGACTTTTTCCACAAGAAACTCTTTGTCGAAACAGACTTACGTAAACTGCTCATCGAGGCACTTGAAATTCGTTTGTCTTCCGTCGAGAGATAATGCGTCCCTCTCGTAATTTCACCTGGCGAAAGCATCGAGCAAAGCCGCCGGTGTCGTCGACGATTCGTGGCAACGCGCAGATTTCGTTTAGCTTTTTGCGTGCATTAAAATGAAGCTTTCACTAGTGGTGCAATCGAAATCATTTGGAATTAGCCAGAAATGGACCGTGTCGTCGAACGACCGGGGATGCTGTAACGTTACGCCACGATCGAAATAACGATCGTACGATTCCTCGCGATAATGATCGAATTTATGAAGGCAGTGAAAAGGGAGATTGATGTTGAGAAATTTTTCGAGTAGGTGGCCCTGTGAGATCGCTTTTAAAAAAGAAAGTAATGAATTTTTTTTTATCGAAAGAATTATTTGATTACACGTGGAAATTAATTCATTGCTTTTCTTCAAGTTGAAAATCTATTGTTTGCGAAATTATTGGCGTAATTACTATTTTTTTGGACGATCGCCAGGTTCTTTAGAAATTTAAAAATTCTTGAGTTTTGAAATCTTAGAATTCTAAAGTTTGGAAATCTAGAATTTTGAAACTTATTTTTTGGGGGAGGAGAGCAGGCCCACCTAGTTACACCAATGTTCACACTTTACATTTTTATTAGTTATTACAAAGTAAAGTAGGGAAGGAAGGGGTAAGATTGATACCCTAAGCGAAAATAAGTATAACTAGTTATTTCTTTTTATAACATGAAGAATTATGGCTCTCTCCAAGGTCTGCCGTTCCAGGTTTGAAAAACGCACTATATTATATTTCTTATTCTCTTAGGAAAAGGATTAATCATTGTAAAATATTTTAATATAATAATCTTACATATTATAGTAATAAAATTATTTATTTAGAAAAGAAAAGTAATATTATAGTTATTTTTGGTATAAGATAGAAAACTAATTTATAGATATTTTTGCTGTCTTATCCAATCGTTGGGAAAGATGACGATTATACAGGGGTAAGTAGATCATGTCGATTTAGCAAATACAATTTTGACATTTAAATAGCTCAGTTCCTCAGTAGGGGGTGCAAGATTCATGTCACCATTTTTGACACTTGTAACACTATCCAGTCCTCTGAAGAAGGATCTGTAAATAATTCACCACATCCTGGACACATATCGACTACTTGATCTTTTAATATAATTTCGCGGTATTGTGATAGTTCTGGTAACTCTAAAATACATTAATTGTAGGGCAAAACAATCATTCGGGGAAGATAGCAAGTCGAACTTTTAGTTGGATATACGGCGGACCACGGAGAGAGCATAAAATTACATTTTAATGTAATTCTCTGAAATTTACACTGTTGCTTTAAAAATTATTATTCTAATATATAAAACTCTTTCGTTTAAAAATGATACATATAACAGAGAAATAATATCAAAATAATAATTAAATATTAAAACCATTCTAAATTGCTATGTAATATTCAATTCCGCACTTTCTCATGCAATACTTATCTTTATTAAAGTTTACATTTTCATTTTAACTTTCCATTGTTTTAATTAATACCTATTCTATCATACTGAGCTTTGAAAGAAAGCAAAAAATAATATTTGCTACCTTACCCCATCCTCCGTAAATTTCTTTTACACAAAATGTGATTCTTACTTTCATAAATAAAGCAGCATTAGACACTCTAAGGTCGAGTATACCACTTATCGTTAGTCTTGCTCGAAAATCTCCAAGAGGAATTTTCAAACATCCATCAACAGTTCTAATAAATCACCTCGAGAGATTACCTTAATAACCCGTCTCTATTATGAGGCGAAGTTAAATCCTAACCGTGGTATGCTGGCTCCATTTGGTAGCATATCGAAATAAAAGGCGGCGGGACGTGTCGCTGCAGAGACGCATCGTTACGCAAACGCTTCTCAGGGCGATCTGCAGCGAGCGCAGCATGTGCACGCGGTGACGCGGCGCATGTGCAGAGCGCGTAAGAGTAGCCCGATGGCGATGGTGGGGGGGAGTTTCATTCATAAATGCCCGACCGAAGGCGTCAATGGATGGCCCTGTGAACGAGCGAGACAGCCATCCCCCTT